ATAATCTTGGGTGGAAATCCTCGTTAATTAAGCTCTAGGATCCACTAAATAAGAGACTACTCCTTACTAGGAGATAACTTTTAATTAACTAATACTATCTCGTATTTTGGCTTAACACCATGGAGGCGCGTCTATAGGGTTAATTATAGTATATTAAAGGATAGTGCAAGGCGGCGAAGCGATTAAGTGGGATTAAATTAATAGGAGGTAATAGTAAGATTAATCCTACCTTCTTTTATAAGCTATAGAGAGCATTATTACGACTTTATAATTAATGTAGATGGACGCGTCACGCGCGGCTTAGTAGGGTGGCTAGCTTACTAATCTAGCCAGCTTACTAATCCAACACGTTATAAATTACCTCTTAGGAGGGACACTTTTCCCCTAACCTCTTCCTCTTCTTCTTCTTCCCTTTTTTTTTTGAAGAACATTACGTGGGATATAGTAGACCATAGAGCTGGGTACTATGGGACGTGGGCTTCTAGAAGGGTTCTTTTTCCCTTGGCATTTCTCTTATTAGAGGAGAGGGTCCGTGCATACACTTATACCCCGTGGAGGAGGGGTATATAGGGACGGTTTCCCCTACCTATTCTCGCGTGGTCGCGTCTTCTTCCCTTTCCTCTCCTCTCTCGGTACGTTGGAGTACGGCTCCGGGTTGGGGGGGCAACCAACCTGACTAGGGACTAGTGGCTACGGAGGTGGTGGTGGCTACCTTTTACGTCTCTTTGTCCGTGGTACCCTCGCGAGAGGATGGAGCGGCCGGTTGGGACGGTGGAGCGGCCTGCCCCCGTGGTTGAGGAGGCGGAGCACCGTGCTTAGTGTGCTTTAGTGGTGGATGCGCTGGCGATGGTGAGTATACGCATTAGTCGTTGTCGTGCTCTCACTCTTTCTCTTCTCACCCTTTTGGATTCCTCGCGGGAGGCGTGGCTGATAACTGGGACGGGTAGGTGTCTCTGGAGGCAGAGGCGGTGCATGCGAGGCTGGTGGGTAAGCTGCGTAGGGATAATGGTGTGAAAGTTGGCGTGGTTGCCGAGCGGATGCGTTGGTCCGAGGCGTGGGTGACGTTGGCGTTGGAAGAGCTCGTGTTGTAGGGGCTTGTGTATACCACTGTGGACGATGCGACGTTTGCCGTACTAGATGGTCTATCGTAGCGGCCGTCCGTGAGCCTTACTAGGGTGCGGGGATCCTTCCCCCTCCGACTAGGAATAGTCTTATTGGGGACGTGATGTTTAACGTGAGGTTTAAACCCGTGTATGGGGACGTTGGGTTTGTGCATGGAGGTTTCCCTGATCTACTTCTCTGATCTGGTTGTGCAAGGGGAAACAGGTTCTGCTTCCTTGCGTTGCAAAAAAAATTTTTTTTTGGTTTCGTGGTGTTGTTTATTGTGAGTCTACTCTCTTCGTGCGGACGGAGGATCTATGCACGGGACGATGATGATAACTATACTCGTGGCACGCTTCTCTTCTCTTGCCCTTCTTCTCAGGGAGCGGTGAGGTCTTGTCGTTGTTATACTATCTTGGAGAGGGAGGCCTTTGCGCGTCTTTCTCGGTTGCGTTCTGGCGGAGGCTTTGTTGTGTGCGCGGGTGCCCTTTCTTGTCACGGCAGAGGTCACGCGTCTTGTGGAGCGTCTCGGAGGCTTCTCGTGCCTTAGTCAGCAGGGAGAGCTTGAAAATGGCATGTCCAAGGTACGGAGGTACGTTCTTCCGGAGATCGGAAGTTCACGGGGAGATATCTCCAGCTTACTAAGCTGGGGTAGTTCTAGTTTTTTGACCCTCTATATATGATTCCTTATAAAAAACTGAACCACTGCCCCAGCAGGGGTCAGATTTCTCGTAAGGGTTAGGGTTAGGGTTAGGGTTAGGGTTAGGGTTAGGGTTAGGGTTAGGGTTAGGGTTAGGGTTAGGGTTAGGGTTAGGGTTAGGGTTAGGGT